ACTGACGCGTAAAGTTTGACCTTGCGCTTTATTTACGATCGTCGCATAACACACGCTGAGTGGGAAACACACTTAAAATAGGGATGTTAGATGATCATCAATGTTAAAAATTAAAACTTTGATGTTTTAACATCGATGTTGACATATGTCAAACATCGAAACATCGACGTCAATGAACCCATAATCGATAATTGGGAACTTGCAAACAATGCGAACTCGCGAAATCAATATCAACTAAATCTTGCATCTGCTCTGACGATTAAAAATTTTGAATAATTCAGAATTTCTGAACGCATCGTTAATCTAAAAAAATGTCAGTATGGTGAGTCAAACTTAATTGTCAAGTGTCTCCTGTAATGTCACAATGGTCACTGCTTTCGCTTTATTTTGTAGTGTCGTTGTCGGTTGTCGCATAATAACTATTCTACATAAATTGATATTCAAGTTAATTGTTACTTTTCCCTTGCTGTGTATACCCACATAATTTTAAAACAATGTGTAAGTATCTACACGTATACAAATACCATCGATAATGGTCAACATCGATGTTTTGAGTAGCGAAAATATCGAACATCGATGTTGAGCTAGCGATGCCAACATCGATGTTATTATCCCTATCTTAAAACTGAAGCCTGAGCCGTGGTAGCTCAGATGGTTAGCGCTCGCTGTAAGCTTCACAGTAACCCGGGTTCGATCCCCGCCGGCACCAATGAAATTGTTAATTGCAATTTTAAGTGCTGATTTACCTCGTGCTCGGCGGTGAAGGAAAACATCGTGAGGAAACCTGCATGTTTGAGAAATAAAAAAAAATATTTCGATGACATGTGAAGTTCGCCAACACGTATTGGGGCAGCGCGGTGGACATTTCCTTGCCCTAAAACCCTCTCAGAAATGAGAGGAGGCCTGTGCCCAGCAGTGGGACGTAAATAGGCTGCATCTTTACTTTACTTAAAACTGAAAAAAAGTTATTTGGTATTAGAGGGATTCTGGGTATAAAACAATATCACTATTACAACATTTATTGCAATTTTGCTACTTTTAGTCGAGTATACCTTACAGGCTTGCAACTTCGTCAAACCCATGTACATGAATTATTACAGTGAGTCTCAATACGATTCACCTGCGAAAAATCTTAACACCGCAATTCAGAAGAGGTTGTAATTTGTACAACGCCATCTATTACGTTCTTTGTGAGAAAACATCCTTTTTTGATTTAAGGAAAACATATTTTTACTGTGTTTTAAGTACTATAATAGAACGATACGAAATATATTATAATAGAACGTTTTTTTTACACACGAATCTTTTTATTACTATTTCTGGGATTTTGTGGCGCCATTAAACAAATTCGAACCTACATTTCAAAATAATAATCATTACTTTCGATAGAATTAACCAATTTCAATAAAACAAAGATTAAATGAACTTGATAATACGCTTTATGATTTTCTTAAGGATTTCATTGAAAAAAAGATGTTTACTCAAAACGTCATGCGTCCATAAACAAACAGACAGACCGTCAGATAGTACAATTCTAAAAATTATAAAAATGTACTTATTTAATGATTTACAGTCCCCATAATGATTTTAGTCTGAAATTAATATACTATACAATATTCAGAAACAGACATAACATGTTATTACCATTTTTATTATATGTATAGATTTAAGAGAGATGGCGCTGTTAACATCAATTCTAAAAATAAGAGATTAATTCACACGATTGATACAATAAAAAACATAAAAGAACTTATAAATCAGTGCCTGCATAGTAAGCAAAAAAGAAAGTTTGATCTTCGCAGAAAAACGAAATTGTTAATAGCTCTTAAAATTTGATTTACCACATAGGGTACTCGGCGGTAAAAAAATAAAAAATAAATGACATTGTCAACACGCAGTAGGGCAGCGTGTCATTAATATAAAGGTTAGAAGCAAATATGAAACTCAACTACAGAAATAAATTTTAACCTGCCTTTTTGTATCACATTTATGCCACACCACCATCTATCGATGAAATTGGTTAACTATTGTACTTTAATTTAGTTTAGATAATAAGGTTAATATATTTTGTATATATTTATTACGTTCTTTATGTAATACTTTTGTTTACTGCGTTTTAGATATAATTATATCATTATAGAACATTATTTTAAATCATTTAATTATGATTTATAATATGATATTAATTTTAAAATGTACTTGATGACTCATCCAACGCCACTATTGAACAAATTCGTACCTATACTTAGTACCCATACTTCAGAATATTTGTCATAACTTTTGATGGGATTAACCAATTTTAATGAAATAAAGACTAAATGTAACCTGAATATACACTTAATAATTTCCTTAACTATTCTTATGATATAAATTAGTACTTTATACGTGATACGTTAACAAACAAACAGACAGACAGACAGACAGAAAAATCTAAAAATGGTAGAAATGTATTTAATTACTTATTTTTAGTACCTCTCAATCACTTTTATTACAAAAATATAAAATGTACAGACATCTGCTATTTACATTTTTATTATATGTATAGATTGGACAACACAACAGATTACATCATTACGTAAAGCTATAACTTATAAGGATTATGTTTCGTATCACACCATTATTATTGTATGTGTTATCACGGCATATCAAGATTGAAATACAAACATTTTAAATAAAATTGCTTAAACTAATAGGCTCATAAATCCAATAAATGAAGAACTATAACTATAAAGAATATCAATCAAAGGGGGTGTCCTTGAGAATATCTTTCAAAACATTTCTAAAACGAACCAGGCTAGAGTTGAAGATGTCAAGGTTGGTAAAGCGAAGGCTATAATCTTCATAAAGTCGACATAACCTTGATAGTGGTTGATTCCGGGAGATATTATTTCGCGATAAGGGTATGTCAAATATTTTTTCCATAGGTTTATGTTGGTAGTGTTTAGGTCAAAATTTAACAGTTCCAATACCTCGGGGCTATCCAGTTCCGGGTGTATTACGAGGGTGACACTAAAAGTTCTTAGAAAATCATAAAATGAACAAACTAAAAGTTATTAGTTTTGTTATATCTTTTCAAAATAGTGTCCATTTACATGAATACATCGCTGCATCCGATGGAATCACTGAGAAAAACACTTTGCCCACTCGTCCTTTGGGGTCTCTTTGACGGCATTTCGAAACGCAGCCACTGCTTCCTCGGCGTCTATAAAACGTTTTACTCGAAGTTTTTCTTTTATTTTCGGAAATAAATAAAAATGGCAAGGTGCGAGGTTGGGGCTATAGGGCAGGTTATCCAGTAATTCCACGTCTGACGTCGCCAAGTAGTCGATTGTTTGCTAGGCGGTATGCGACGAGGCGTTGTCGTGGTGAAAGAGAATCCTACTGCGAGGTCGTTTCTCCAGAACTTTTTCCTAGACAAGTGGCAAACAATTGTTAGTGTACCATTTTGCAGTAACTGTATTTTGATCCTCTAAAACAGTTGTTGCGTAATGACCTATCCTTTCGAAGAACGAGGCGACCATATTTTTCCCACACTTCGACCTCTCTTCACTTTAGTTGGCTACTCCTCAGAAGGAAACACCCAGACAGCAGACTGTATTTTAGTTTCAGGATCATAACAATAAATTCAGCTTTCGTCACCCGTAAGTATGTCGAACACAGCATTTGAGTCACCTCCGTTAAATCTTTGAACCATTTTACAACACAAATCAACACGACCAAGTTTTTGGGCCTCTGTCAAATTATGAGTTATCCACAGGGCACAAAGCTTCCTGACCGCTAAATGTTCATGGAGGATTTTGTGCACTTGACTACTCATACCGATGCCTAAGTTTGTTCGAAACTGCTGATAAGTCACATTTTTGTCAGTTTCTATCATACGCCGCACAACACTGATGTTATTTTCAGTTGTTACCGTATAAGGCCGTTCCTCACCCAAAACATCGGTGAGATTAATGCAACCACGTTTAAACTCATTAAACCAGTTTCAAACAGTGGTACGAGATGGGCTTCATCGCAAAAGGCCAATCGAAGTCTATCATAACCTTCTTGTTGACTTAAATGACATCGAAAGAAATAAAAAAATCATTGTAGGAAAATTTTCTCGCATTAAATTCATGCTGACGTAACACAGACAATTTTCAATTTGCCGCCAAATCGTAAACAAATGACAAATTAATATAATATATACAAATTAATATTGGCAAAGAGTCCCATTTTCAAAATTTGATCTTATTTTTTTATTATATCGTTTACAAGTGCCAGTTCTAAAAACTTTCAGTGTCTCCCTCGTATTTTGTGTAGGTTAACTAGGTCCAATTCATCGCGACGGAGGTGAAGTAGTGTCATATCAAACTATTTAAGCCTCTCAGCATATGACTGGAGTCTTCTATTGTTGCTGGTACGTAAGCACAATAAACGCAAAAACTTGGATTAGATCGATCTAATGCGCTCAGAGTGCGCTTCGTAGTATGGATTCCATATTATTGAACTATAAATTCTAAATTACTTCGAATCAGACTGTTATACAACAAAATTTAACTTTGAGGGTTCTTGAAGTGCCTGCTATGTCTAGTAAAAACCTATTACCTGGTTAGATTTTTTGGCTATGAGATCGTAATGTTCATTAGTTGTTGCCAGTAGAGATCCTAATCACAGGTTTTGCCCGGTGGTATAAGCTTATATAATCACACACCATCACCTTATTGCGTGTTAGTCCGGGTTCCGCTACAGTCTGTGGAGCAGGACTACCTTTCGATCATGATTTTTTTCGCACGTTCTTTTCACAGGTGATCCACTTTTCATCATCAACGATTAATAATTTGAAAAATGGTTTGGTTTCATTACGTTTTAGTAGAGAATCGTAAATGAGTACACGATTCATTCGGTTTCTTTCAGTGAGCTCGTGTGGTATCCAAATATCGAGCTTTCTTGTATAGTCAGTTTTTTTTTTTTATAGGAGAGGGGGCAAACGAGCATGCGGCTCACCTGATGGTAAGTGACTACCGCCGCCCATGAACAACTGCAACACCAGGGGAATCGCAGATGCGTTGCCGGCCTTTTAAAAAGGAGTACGCTCTTTTCTTGAAGGTCCCTAAGTCGTATCGGTCCGGAAAAATCGCTGATGGTAATCGATTCCACAAGGAGGTCGTGCGAGGAAGAAAACATCTTCTAAATCGCACAGTGGTGGACCGCCAATCATCCAGATGGTGTGGATGGTATCGGGAGTTCTGCCGCGATGTGCGTTCGTGAAATTTGGCGGCTGGGATTAATCCGAACAATTCCTCAGAGCACTCCCCATGGTAGATGCGAAAGAAAATGCAAAGGGATGCAACATCTCTTCGCAGTGCCAATGAATCGAGCCGATCGGAAAGGGCTCGGTCGTCGACAATTCGAGCCGCTCTGCGTTGGATGCGGTCAAGTGGAAGGAGCTGGCACTGGGGAGCCCCTGCCCAGAGATGGGAACAGTATTCCATGTGAGGCCGAACTTGCGCCTTGTAAAGTAGCAGGCGGTGTGCCGGCATGAAATACTGTCCCTTTGAAATGGGTCAAAATTGTTTTGGGTCAATCCTCAATTCCTCGGTTATGACGTAACCTCTAATATGACGCTCTTGCGCCACTTTTTCAAAAATGGCATTGAATTTTTCTGTAAGAGGGCGACTAGAGCAAGCTGCATCCTTGTCATCATAATTCCCGGACTAAAAACGCTTGAACCAACTTTGTGTTACTCTTATGACACTGCATGCACCTACTGTAAACGTTATAAATTTTTTCGCGGCTTTAGTCGCATTTTGCCTTTTGTGTATTAAAACTTCAGAATGTATGGAATTTCTTCATTAGATTCACTTATTTTGGCGGACAGAAAAACAATTGAAAAATGTGTTGATATTAAAACCAGTCAGATAGAAACAGTACAACCAAGGATTTTTCTTCAAATTTATACGAAGCAACTTTTTCCCTGACCTATCATTAAGGTCGCTCTGGATCTATGGAGAGTTATCCTCAGCTCAGCTTCATATACTTCGGAAACGCAATGAGGAAGAAATGTTCTGGGGCGGCAGAAATACACTAGTTATCGTAGTGTAGCACCCTCCTCCCCTCCTAAATGGACGATCTAGTAACACAGGAAGGAAGTCTGTGGCGGCACTGTCGTCGCGCTGTGAGCGAAACGCACCGAAGTCTAAATTGCGCTATTAAAGTTCCGAACACACTGCGGTGTAGATAGAAGAGCTCCAAACTACCACACGGAGCTTCACTTCCGCAGCCATAAGTCAATGAATGCAGGTGGCTCACAAACGTGCTTCATTGCGTTACTTGGAGTAAGCCTGTGTTTAGGAGTGGAATTATCAAGAGCTGTAGTATTATGATAATGGCAATGAAACTAAAAGTATACACATTTAGATTCAATATACAACAACTTTGGCAAACACGACCAGGAGGAGAATTATTAATCAATATTACACTTAAGAAATATAAGAAAAGGAAAAGGAAAGGGAAATATAAGAAAATAAATATATTAACTTTGGACTCTCCGTACCTATATTTAAGAAAATTATAGAGTTTATCTACACAAAAACAAAGATTGTTTTATTATAAATAGTGATATGCATTTTGTAAATACTAAAAACAAGCGTAAGCTTATACCAGTTACTCAATTTCAAAGAGTCGGTAACTCCTTCACGGGGCAATGTATACGCTTTCACAAAAAAGTCCCAGAAAATATGTATAAAAACTATATATTACAAAAAATTACTAAGAAAAATTGTTTAATAAGGGTTACTATACTACTAAGAGAAGATTGTTGGCCCGTGCTGGGCACGAAGTGATCGCTAGCATTTTGTTTCTAAACGTTTTTATATTTAATTGTACAACATAATATTATGTCGTAAATTAATGTTAAATAAAGGCCCCCTAGGTTTCCTGCTTGTTTTATCCAGGATTCTTCCGGACCAGTGGTAAAAGCATAAATTACTTTCAATAAGTATTTTTGTAATGTATTAGGGTTTTTACCTGTGAAATTGTTGTTTTTAATGAAATAAGTTATCGTAATTTTTTTCTATATTTTTAAATTCTATTAATCAAAGTAATCAACCATGCAATTGATGCATCATTGCCAATTCATTGGCAGTTTATTTATGCTCTTCTTGAAGAAATTGGCTGGGCGGGAAGCAACAAATTTTTCATAGGTATTTTGTATTGCCTCCCGGGTATTAAATTTTTTTCCCGGCAATAAGTTATCCAAATTCTGAAAATAAAGAAGAAGTCTGTGATCGCAAGTTCTGGTAAGTATGACAGATGACGGAGTGCTTACAACACCAGCTTTTGTAACTTGGAGACTGTTGTGCAATATGAGCACAATAATATAAAACCGAGCAGAATGAAAGCTTTATATTACCGCCGTGTGCGAGAACACTACTACATGGAAAGCTAGTGCGTGATTTTTCACCGACAAGGTGTGTTCCACACGTGGGGGGCGTGCATTGGCTAAGGTCCAAACCGGTTTGAGCCCACTCATAGAGCGGACGAAATTATGATGTGCCAATGCCAAATGTGCGTTGTCGCTGCAGACAACGACGCAGACGCTTAGTTTTGTTTTTCAAGATGCCAAATTGTTGGATTTATACACAGCCTGGATTTCTAAGAATTCCTTCTGGTAATATTGTATGATTTATTGAATAAGTGGAGTCAAACATTTTTTAATATTCACCAGAAAATTACAAATGTCGGACAAGAAATTCTAAAGCATATACATGATTGTACTTTTGAAATGCCGTGCCCCTGTTTACCAATAAATTATTTAATTTTTTTTATTGAAGAGGGGGCAAACGAGCATGCGGCTCACCTGATGCTAAGTGACTACCGCCGCCCATGAACAACCGCAACACCAGGGGAATTGCAGATGCGTTGCCGGCCTTTATGAAAGGTGTAAGCTCTTTTCTTGAAGGTTCCTAAGTCGTATCGGTCCGGAAAATTCGCAGATTTCGCAAAGTCGAATTAGTCCGAACAATTTCTCAGTGCACACCCCGTGATAGATACGATATAATACGCAAAGAGATGCAACATCTCTACGCAGTGCCAGTATATCGAGCCGATCAGAAAGAACTCGGTCATCGACGATTCGAACTGCTTTGCGCTGGATGCGGTCAAGTGGAAGGAGCTGGCACTGGGGTGCCCCGGCCCAAAGATGAGAACAGTATTCCATGGGGCCGAACTTGCGCTTTGTAAAGTTGCAAGCGATGTGCCGGCATTAAATACTGTCTCGCTCTGCTGAGCACGCCAAGCTTCTTAGAGGCCAATTTGGCTTTCCCTTCCAAGTGACCACGAAACTGCACACTATTCGATATGTCGACGCCAAGGATTCCGATACTAACTGAGGCAGCAAGGGGAGTGCCTTGAAACTGAGGAGATACGACAAAGGAGTTCTTTTTAGCGGTAAACGCGCAAACTTGTGTTTTCTGGGGATTGAACTGGACTAGATTTAGTCGCTCCCAATCCGAGACTTTGTTCAGCAAAGACTCGACTTCAGACACAAATTTGTCCCGGTACTCGGCGACGTTTTCCCGAGAAATATTGGCACGGCCGGTATATAAGGCATCACCAGTGCTGTCGTTCGCATAGCAGTGAATGCTACCAGTTAGCAACATATCATTGATATGCAGGAGAAACAGCGTTGGTGATAGCACGCAGCCTTGTGGAACACCAGCGTTGATAGGCTTGAAATCAGAGCATGCACCGTCTACTACGACCTTGATGCTCCGATCAGCAAGGAAACTGTTGATCCATTTGCACAATTTCTCGGGAAGCCCATAGGAAGGAAGCTTCGAAAGAAGCGTTTTGTGCCAGACCCGATGGAAGGCCTTCGCTATGTCCAAACTAACGGCCAATGGCTCCCCCTTGGGCTCTACTGCCTCCGCCCATCTATGAGTCAGATAGACTAGAAGATCACCAGCTGATCGACCCCGACGAAAACCGTACTGGCGGTCACTAATCAGCTGGTGATCCTCAAGGTACCTCATGTGTTGGCAGTTTATATTGGAATGCATTATATTTGGAGAACAAGAAGGTGATGGCGATAGGCCTCTAGTTGGACGGGTCTGAGCGGTCGCCTTTTTTAGGGATCGGGTGGATCAAAGTTGTCTTCCATGAATTCGGGACTACGCATTGAGAGTAGGAGTACCGGAAAAGACGCGTTAAAACTGGTGCCAACTCCGGAGCACACGTCTTCAGCACAATGGGAGGGACTCCATCGGACCCACTCGACTTGCTGACGTCCAGTGAGAAGAGTGCTTTGCGAACCGAGCGCTGTGTAAACCGCACATCCGGCATGGAGCACTTACATCGCGGGATGGTCAGTGGTGTGTTCCCCCGTCATCTAGAGTCGAAAACGATTTTTTTCAATTTCGTGTTTTTTTTAAAATATCGCCCAAAAATACTAAAGATACGAAAAAAAACGATAAAGTACTTAATTGTAGCTTTTTTAATGAAAAAAATTTCCCTGTGTGCAGATTTTTTGTACAGTGAATATTCGGCGAGATATAGCCGTTTAACACCTACATTTACGATCGAACATAACCTTATTCAAGCGCTTTAAACTCTCCCCATTTAAAAATTAAGGGATCTTAAGTAATTTAATTCACATAGTCTTATAGCTCCTGAAAAGCCCTACAAAATCGTTTCTGAAAAAAAAATTCTATCACCTAAAATGAAGGAGCTATGCTTAAAAAAGCGATTAAATTTTTTTTTCGAAAAATTAGAATTACTCGCTTCGGAGCGTAGTAATCTACATAACCGGTATATTCGGCCGTTATACGTTATATGTTCCACTTTTTCGATTCTTATTGGAACACAGAGAAGAAGAAACATTTGCTCACGTGTATACGTGTGTGAGTGTATATTTCGTTGATTTCTCACCAGTGTATTCTAAAGTTCGAAGACAGTAGCACGTGCTCTGACAATTTCAATGTTTTCAAGGGTAGCTTTTAACAAGGGTAGGTTGAAAGATTATGAAATTGTATCCTAAAGCATGAAACAATCATTATTTAACTATTTTTACCCATATTTAGGATTTTAATGTTATTTTATAATTTTTGACAAATAGGGGTAGTTTTCACCCCCAAAAAACAAAAAGCGTACAACGGCACAATATAGAAAATGAACTAGAGGATGAAATAAGCCTAATCCCAAATTTTTGTACAAATCAGTGCTGGACGAAAAAATTGCGAGGTTTTACCATTTTTTTAGCTTCATTTCCTGGACTAATAATTCGTCATTGTCGACCAAAATTTTGAGACCTATACGGGGTTCATTTTGCAGGTCGAAATTTCCAGAACGGAAGGAGACAAACCAATAACAATTGGTGCATTCGTTTGTTGTATTTGCGCAATAAACGTCGTGGATATTGCGTGCCGCTTCTTTGCTTGTTCCTGCCATGACAGTACTCATATTCGATACTTAATTGAATTTTCTCCAACGTATCCATGATGATAAAAAAGATTCCATTGCGATGAAAACATAACGCTAATAAGTTAACAAATGACTAATTTTGTAAAAAGAATTCCATGTTTTTAAAAGGAAATTAATTTGAAATTAGAATTCTTAACCAAACAAAAATTATTTTGATTTTCAATGGCCAGTACTGCATAACAGCAATTTTATAGGTAAATACCTATTATATATTGCATAAAAAGTAATCTATTCTATCCTAAAGAAAAATTAGACTTGAGCATAAAGCGAAAAGATCATTCACCTCGACCACCTTTAATGAATAGAGGAGATTTTTTTATATAATTTAGAAAACAAACAGTATATCTAAGTTTTAAAGAAATAATAAGTTTTGACTGTTTAAATCTTTTAATCTGTTATTAATTGTACACACAGCGAATTTTCAAACTCCTCGACCTCCTTTTCTCTCTCAAGTTGCCAGTTATTTAAAAACTTCTCCCTAGGAGGTCATTAATAGCTTAGTGATTTATATAAATTTTCCCAAATAATTTAAATAACAATATTTAAACAATGAATAGGAAAAATCTAAACCTTAAATTGATATTTTTAACAGTCGGCCATCCTGAATTAGTGGCTGTCCCAGACACAAGAACAAAATAATATTAAAAAAATGTTATTGGAATCATAAGTAACCATCAATTGTCTATTATACTGGAACACATTCATATAATGAAATATAACATTGCAAAAAAAATACAAAATTACAACTGGTAGCTTGATACTTTGTCGGCCATCCCGCACCACAGAATGTCCATATTCTGTATAATGTTTAGATGTCGGAATTATGTGCATTGAGTTGATTCAGCGTCCCTTTCTCGCGAGAAGCTCATAGCATCTGTACAACAAATTGGGTCAGCTGGGCACCGATTGCATACATAGTATGCTTCGGCCTCACTCCAGCGAAATTAAGTAATGTCTGGGCACTGCTTGCACACACAAGGTACTTCGGCCTCTCTCTAGAGATTTTATATGAATGGGCACCGCTTGCACACACAGGATGCTTCGGCCTCACTCCAGTTCATCAACAGCTAACAAGTCTGGGCACCGTTTGCATTCGCAAGATGCTTCGGCCTCACTCCAGGAAATTTCATTGTTTACTGGGCGCCGTGTGCACACACAAGGTGCTCTGGCCTCCTTCCAGTCTTCTAGAATATCAGCATTGCTTTACTGCCAGGGCACCATGTATGCACCCACGTTGGCATCATAGAGTTCAATCAGGACTGGATGTTGGAAAAGAATACTCAGGACAAGGAATTAAGGAAATTTGTATATTTGAATAGCACACTATATCAGAATCACAGGACAGTAGTATAAATAACACTAAAAAAATTACACAATTTATACGGGTGAATAATTAGATTAATTGTTAGTTACTATCGCAGTAATCGCTCTCGGATTCTGAATCATTAAATGTCACCCACGGTTTTAATTTATCTACCGGGAAAACGTTACTATACTTTTTTTTTGAGTAACCCTCAACGCTACAAATCAAATAACGGTCATGGTCCAACACTGCTGCTACTGAAGCCTGGGACAAGTTTCTGATTCTCTCCGGGTGTCCTGGTACTTTGTGCCATTACTAAATCCCCGACCTTGTATACTTTGACCTTACATCTTTTTTATCAAACCGTTCCTTCACTGTCTCTTGTTGTTTAACTAACTTACCACTTGCTTCATTCCTGATTTTCTGTACAGTTTCGGGCGAAATATCTTTAGATGAAATTATTTCGTGCAGGTGAGTCTCGGAAACATTTACCGTATTTTAATAATTTCTGTAGGACTTTTGCCAGTACTTTGGTTCACTGTGTTATTAAGACTCCATTGCACCTGATTAATATGAAGGTCCCAATTTCTATCATCCTCTCCATGACATAAAGCTGTGATCGACGCCAGAATTGTGCAGTTATACCGCTCAATTTGGCCATTAGCCTGAGGGATAGCACCTGCGTTTAAGATGTGCTTAAGTCCTACTGATTCAACGAATGTTTTAAATTCATTGGAAATAAAGCTAGTTCATCGATCAGATATCAAGCTTTGCGGTACCCCGAATAGTCCAAATACGTCCTTAAGAACGTCGATCGACGTCTTGCTTTTTGTATTTTTGACAGCTTTTATTACCACAAAGTTTGTGAAATTGTCAATTATACCGAGAATATACATATTACCTCGTTTGGTTTTTACAAAGGAACCCGAATGGTCAATATGTAAGCATTGAAAAAGGTAACAAGGTTTTGGTATGGAATGTAGAAATCCTTGCTTTTTACCGCCTGGCTGTCGGGCATGTGCGCATGGAATACAAGCACGTACATATTTTTTTACAAATTGAGTCAATTTAGGAAACCAGTAACTTGTTCTCACTTTTTCCAATGTTTTCTCACAGGAAAAATGAACAGCTTCGTCATGGCACTGTTGACAAATTTTCCATTGTGCATCTCTAGGTACCGTCCATCGTAATTGGCCTTCAACTCTTCTATAAATTTTACCATCTTTCAGTACGTAGTTATTCTGAACTTCGTTTGCCTCTTGACTTTTGGCATCCAATGTAGCCTTTATATGGCAAAGTCTCGGATCACTCATCTGAAAAGATTGTAACCAATGCACTTCACCTATTTGTAGCACGTTAGTAAATCTAGTTGAACTGTAAAATTCATTAGCCTTTTTCGGAAGATGCTGAGTTTCGGCTGAGTGCATTAGTTTTGACTGTTTAAATCTTTTAATCTGTTATTAATTGTACACACAGCGAATTTTCAAACTCCTCGACCTCCTTTTCTCTCTCAAGTTGCCAGTTATATAAAACAACTCCCTAGGAGGTTATTAATAGCTTAGTGATTTATATAAATTTTCCCAAATAATATAAATAACAATATCTAAGCAATAAAAAGCACAAAATTAAAACCTTAAATTAATATGTTTAACATAAGTGTATCTAGTCTTTTCACCAAAATATTAAGGAATTGACTAATAGAGGATCCCAAAACATAGCCTAAAGCATTGATAATTCACGCTTTCAGAAATGCAAAATAGATTAATATGTTGTATGATGTGACAGACACGACTATGTACTTCTAATTATAATTTAACACTAAATGTCAAATTAAACTGTTTAGGGACGCGAATATTATTGGAATGTCACAGTCTGTTTGAATGATATATTTTTGAACTATATTATTATATAGTTATAGGTTTACCTATATTTATAAATGATAAAACGTTAAGTTACAAGTGAAATACATCTACTCAAATTATTTTTATTTACTAGACATGTAAGTTTTTAATAGCATTACAAAACTGTAATTAGTTTGTTATGTAGATGGCTATGGGCCACAACATCCACTTACCATCTTGATTGCTCATTTGTCATCCTTATTCTTTAAATAAATGACAATTCAATAATTTGAATAGAATCATTGAATTTGATCATGACAACCTCACTTTCCCATAACTCACTCTCTGTTCTACCCAAGATTAGCTGGTAGAGAATGCCATATAGCATTAAGCTCGCCTTTTGTACAATACATTTGATATAGATTAAATATAAAATAAAGAGAAAAAGAAAGAATAAATAAAGATTAAAATAAAAAAACTCAAATAAGTTTATAGGGATGTATTACACTCATATAAATTAGATGGAGTTCGTAAATTGCACTCTAGAACGTGACACCGTTCTCTCGCATAGTTGTTAACCTGTCGTGGCAAAACTCTGAGGAACTAAAGTTTGGTTATTGGGCCAGGTACAACTTTTAAAAGAGCTAAGTAGGGCAAACCCGAAAATTAAACATAATTCAATATCGTAAGAGCGTTCATTTCTACGAATAAGAAATTATGTATAAATACTAATAAAAACTACTAATAGTAATTTATACAGTCTTTTGGTCTTCAAAGCCGACATTACTAAATATGTGCTCGGCGGTTTTTTTTTATAGGATAGGAGCCCACAGTCCACCTGATGGTAAATGGTTGCTGTGGCCCATAAACATCTACAATTATCTTCGTTTGCGAATCAATGCAGATGCGTTGTCACCCGTGAGGACTAAGATGGAATGCCTCTTTTCCAGTAAAAAGGGTCTCCGGTTCTCTACACTCACCATACAAAACACAGCAGTGTTAAGCTGCTATTTGACGCTGGTATTCTGTGAGGGCGTGGTCCTTCCCCGGTCGAGCCGACCCATTCCTGCTACAAACTATACTACTAATATAGGTGCAGCATGGCTCCACCACGTTTAAAAACGTTTCGGCGGTAAAAGAAAACATCATGAGGAGACTTGCACATCAAGATATTATAACTTTGAAAACACCTACAGATCGTCAACACTTACTTAAGCAGTGTGGTATCGCTTACGCTTACGACTACGAAATTAATTTTTTAACTTTTTGCTGTCTGCACATTCTCCTTCGTTGGTCTAATATTTGTAAACGCTACGTCCGCCGGAGAACCAAGATTAATGAGAGAGACTTCCGTGTTTGTAAACTGAAGTGGCAATGGGCTGGCAACGTCTGTCACAGAAGTGACAACCGGTGGAGTAGACGTGTTATGGAGTGGAAACCGCGTCTAGGCAAACGTAGTGTGGGACGCCCCCTGACCAGATGGGGCAACGATCTACGCAAGGTGGCTGGTAGAAACTGGATGCGTGTAGCCGAAGATCGGCCTAAGTGGCGCGCTTTGGGAGATTGGGTAATTTATACAGTATTTTAGTCTTCAAAACCGGCATTACTAAATATGTGCCAGGCGGTAAAAGGAAACATCTTGAGAAAACTTGCAAATCAAAAGAATGACATTTTGAAAACATCCACAGTCCGTCAATACTTTCTGAAGCAACGAGGGACTGCTTACGACTGCGTTAATTAATTTTTAAACATTTTTCTGTATAAACATGAATATGAAACTACGTAAATAAAAGAAAAATGGGGAAAAAACGCAACGACGGTTTCTATGAATTGCGTGCTTTAATAATTATTAATATTTAAATATCTTTTTTAAATAACACAAAAAACACAGAACGTAAAATTAGGCAAAAAAACGCGTTTGAAGTTTTATTGAAGTCCTATCACAGCGTAACGGAAAATGAGGGAAATAGAACGGAAAATAACTTGTTTAACTTCATAAGTGGATATGCGGACTTGAGTCGTGAGTCGTAGTTCAATCCACTTAGATGAGTTGTTTATGAGATACATAATTCAGGAAAATACTCCATCTCACTCCTTGGGTGTTTTGAGAGGTAACTTGGGAAGTGTCCTTACGTACCGATAGATTGCGGTTAACTCATAATTATACCGAATAAAAAAAAATAAAGTCGCTTTCATGGTGCGAGACGTCTGTTAGGGAGATCGTACCCGCCTTGTTCAAGGAGAAGTTACGTTAATACTGGCGGATTGTTCTCCGTCGCGCCCCCTTCTTACCACTCACTCATAAATCGCTTAGTGCTCAGGTTCAAGGCCAGCGTTATTTTTTCAGCGTTTGCGCGTACATTGACCTTTAATCAGCTGATATGAATTCAGTAATTCTACTGCTGTTTCAGTATTTTCATGATTTTTTTTATGAAATTATCGTTTCATTTAGCTATACTAACATGATAGAAAATGAATAAAGCTTATTAGCTTGTGGAAAGATGATTTTTCATTCATCAGGATCGATTTTATATTCCACGCACCATCAAAGGTGTACTTCGTACTGTCGTCTGTCTTAGTTTTCGGGAGCATTCCAAAAATACCCTGTATATATATATATATATATATATATATATATATATATATATATATGTGTGTGTGTGTGTGTATTTGCACCTGCAACAAAATCTCATCACTCCTCGGGTTGACTGGCAAAGAATGCCAGTCAATTTAAAAATAAATTATAAATACAAATAAGTCTAATTTAAAAATAAATTTAAATAAAACAAAAGTTATGCACTTCCATCAACGCCGTGAAAACCCAAACATTAACATTTCCTACCAAGGCTTTAATATTGAAGAAGCAAATATGGCGAAGTTTTTAGGTATAGTGATTGATAATCATCTCACTTGGAAGCCTCATGTTGAGGATCTATGCAAACGACTCAGCAAATCCGCATATGCGCTTTCTCAACTTTCAAAAAAGGTTAACAGCCAGGCTCTTTTGATAGCATACCATGGACTAGTTGCTTCCGCTTTACGATATGTCATCATTTTCTGGGGACAGTCTTCTGATAGGGAGCTTGTATTTAAGATGCAAAAACGATGTGTAAGATCAATGTGTGGTCTCAAAGTAACAGATAGCTGTTTTCCTTATTTTAAATACTTAAAAATCCTAACACTGCCGTCATTGTATATACTGGAAACAGCTATTTTTATAAAAAAGCATCCATTTCTTTTCCAAAAAATATCTGATATTAGAAAGAATCCAATACGTACCCACTACATAAATAGGTTATGTTACATAAAATGTAAAACATCATTAATGAAAAAAAGCTTCTTTGGTATTGCCCCACAAATTTATAATAAACTACCTGATTCAATAAAAAATATGACCTTATTTAAATTTAAAAAGGTGCTGAATGACTTATTAATAAACAAATGTTACTATAAAATTGATGAGTTCTTGAATGACAATTTTGACTAGTAATTTTTATTGAATATTATCATTTTTTGTTATTGTAATCAATTTAATTTTATAAATGTAGAATTTTCATTAGTATGCCAATTTCAATTATTTCTATTCTATTTTATCTTGTGGCATGATTTTTCAAAAGAACACTCAATTATATTTGTATGTCTTTAAGACAAAACATTTATTGTATTTGCACACCTCATAAGGTAATAATACAATGTACATATTATAATTTTCTGTAACACCTTTTATACCTGTATTATGCAAATAAATGAATTTGAATTTGAATTTGAAAAAAAATTTGTCGCACTTCACTTCGCACTTCACTTCGCACTTCACTCCGCACTTCACTCCGTACTTCACTCCACCTATGCGGCATATTGGCAAGGCCACTGGAACGCTTTCGCGCACATCCGCGACTCTATTTGCGCCGGCCACTCCATGGCAGCCACTGCTCCTTGGTATAGGACAACTCCTCCCCCTTTTAATACTCAGGTAAGGTGCATCAGAATACAAGGCGCATCTTTCTCCGTAGCGTCTTAATGATGATGATGTTTAAGTGATGAGCTAATGGGGTTAAATAAAATTCGCAATCGTTCGCTTATTTGACCGTCGGAATTCGCGCTCTGCAATTTACAGAATACAAGCTTTAAAACAAATAACCAATGACGCAAAGAAACAGATTTATATCGACGATTAAAACGATTCATGACGCTTTGGTGTGTTTGGCTTTTAGTTTAAAGCTATATCTCGCATCCCGATGCATTGAATAATTGTGTCAATTTTTCGTAAAATGTTACCCAACAAGAGGAATTTCTACTATATCATGGAGGCGTATCATAAATTGTATATTGTCAGACAACCAGAGACTGAACAATTATTAGAATCCTATATAAATAATTTTCTCTTGTGAGAATCGAACCCGTGGTGCGCAGTACCTCAGTAAACGCTCAGCCTTAATGTTATTTAGCCGATGATTTTTTTTTACACTATACTAAGCTAGCACTTAACTACAATCTCACCTGATGGTAAGTAGTGATAAAGCCTAAGATGTTGAAGCATACTGACTTAACAAAACTCTTTCACTCTTGCCTTTAAAACACCCTCATTG